CTCGCGTGTGAGGTCCTCAACCGCCACCCTCCGGAGATAACCTTGTTATTTTCTTCAGTCTAACTGGAGCCGCTCTCTACCTTGGACCTAGTTTTATCTCCTCTTAGATCTTGCCTCACTGTGAGGAAAGAAGAGACACGGGAAAAGTGCGTGGGAGTTTGTCCTCTGCGAGCTCCCGTCACCCAAGTATGGCGGCCCAGGCGTCGCCGCGCACGTAACTTAATTCCGTCGCGTTTTCAGGCATGCGCGGACCGCGGCTGCGCAGTCCCAAGCCCGAAACCTGTCTCAGCGCCCTGCTCCATGCCACCCTCCTTGGGCTGCAAAACTACAAAGCACCGTTAGCTTTTAACAGGACGGCGACCAACGGCCCTATTCACTGGACGCTGCCGTACCGGCCAGCTAAGATGTGTGCACGGCAGTTGTTTGAAATTTGGGGCCCAGCTGATATTTTAAAAAAAGTTTACTAGCGTTATAGAAAATTTGGCACCTTTGATATTACGTGGTGGCCCTGCAGTGAAATTAATATGAAGTAGACCGAGTGTCTACCCCACCTAACTTATCAATATTACCCCGTCCCCATCCAGTGTCCCCTTCCCGTTCACAGACTGTTGGCATGTAGCCTCCTAGACGCCAGCAGCGTGTATAGGTCGTAGAGAGAATGTCCATTCAGCTTCTTTGTTATGAGTCTAAAAACAGACCCTCGAGGGGCAAAGTGACTTTGCCAAGGTCCACTGCTTCTAAGCCATGTTGACCTCTGGGTCCGGTGGGGAGTAGCAGACATATTTAAATATCTCAATACTGTCACCGCACACACCTGACAAGGGGATAAATGGCAGGTGGAGACTCATCTGTCGGTGCCGGGCTTCCACCTACTGCTCCCACCTTTCTCCCCATAGCCATGCCATGCTGCACCACCAGGATCCTGCCTGAGACTACACGGGAGAGAAGAGCTACAAGCTCTAGGGTGGGGTCACTCACACATACACACACTCTGAAAGCTGTGGGGCAGGGAGCGCTCAGACTTCAGAGGGTTCTTCTCCAAGACCCCTGTCCCTCCTGGGGGCTCAAAGGCAAAGGTCAGAGTTCCTCTGGGTCATGCTTGGGGTGGCCTAGTGTGTTAGTCACCTCCTCCTCCTCCTCTTCTGTCTTCTCTTGCCCATCTGTGATCTTCTCCTTTCCAGTCCAAGTTTCCTGTAGACATGCTAGGTTGGGCGATAGAAAACAATTTAGATATTGGTCCTGGGGAGAGGGAAGGTTGTGACCTGGCAAGAAAGGGGCCAGCCGCCAGGCTTACCAGTTTCAGTAGCTCGGAGCACATGACCTTCACAGAGAAAATGCTGTAGGGGCTGCTCCTGATGGTGGAAATACCAGTCTCCCACGACGTCTTCAAACTCCTCCAGCATCGTCTCACACTGATCAGGTGGAAAGGTCAGAAGGGTATCTGCTCTGCTGGCCTCTGCAGACCCTCCTCTCTGCTCTTCACTCCCTGTCTCCCCACCCCACTTCGGAAAGGCAGGGAACCAGGAGGTTAAACTTGGCCTATTAGATGTGTGATCCTCATTCATTCAACAGACATTTACCAGCACCTACGCTGCCAAGTAAGTTATTATACTCTGAGTCTCAGTTCCTTGCCTGTAAAATGGGAAGTGGTAATAGTACCTACCACATCAGGTTGTTGTGAGGGTAAAATGAGGCAGCAGCTGGAAAGTTTGTGGCCCCAAATCGGGCACACAGTAGGTGCTCAGTAAGTGGCAGTATATATCACTAGCCTCCATTATTACTTCTTGATATGCTCCTGGGCCCACTTCAGTCAATGGCAGAGTCCCTGCTCTGCTCAAAGATGGACCTCCTTAGGATCTAGCTCCCCTCTCAGGTTCCCTTCTCACCTTCCTGGGCAGCGCAGTATCCTATCCTACCTGCTTCTTGAGGAATGTGACCTCCACGCTGGGCTCATCCCACAGCTCCAAAGGGATCCCCAGATCCACCTTCACCCCCTTCTGCACCAGGCCTTTCAGCGTTGCCATGGTCTGACTCTGCCCCTGAGAGATGGGAATTTGAGATCAGCCCAGGCCACTGCCCTGCCTCCTCCCCTTTTTGCCATATCAGCTTTGTCAACTACTGGAGACCCCGGTGAGTTCCATAGAGATGAGATGAGGGAGTCTACGATGGGGAGGGGACACTCCAGAGCTGCGGGGAGCTGGGCAGACATCGTGAGGACCTCAGGGGGTACAGGTTGTAGTTTCTGAGAGATGGAATCCTGCCCTGGAGAAGAGTCTGACCTTGGCATATCTCAGTGAGCCCTTGCGCTCGGCATGAACACTGTAGTCCAGAATCCGCTCACATAAATTCTCCAAGGCCTCTTCCAGCCTTGTCTCTCTGTGGGAAGAGGGGAAACAAAGACTCCCTGGATGCTGTGGGCGCTCCCAGGGCTCCTTCAGGGATTGGAAGGTGGAAGAACACCAAGAAGAACTCACGAAACACTGTAAGGGATGTGTCTCTTCCTCTTGCCTGTGTCCAGCACCTGCCCCAGCTCCAGCACCTCTCGAGATCGGCCAGTGCGACTCAGCTCGTCCTGTAGCTCCAGGCTCAGCAGTTTACATACTAGATATCCAAGGGGACGTGAAAGACAAACAAACAAAGCAGCAACTCATTCGGCAGATAAGCAAAGGCAGCAGAGCACAATGGTTATGAGTGCAGGCTCTGGAGCCAGCCTGGTAAGGCTGGAATCCTGACTCAGCCACTTAGTAGCTGGGTGACGATCCTGCTGTGCCTTGGTTTCTTCACCTCTAAAATGAAGATAACAATAGTACCTCCCTCACAGGGGTGTGGTGAGGATTAAATCAATCAATCTATGTAAAGCCCCGAGAATAGTGCCTGGCACATGGTGAGCACTGCCTAAGTGTTTGCTGTTTTCTGCAGTTATTTGTTGAGCCCCTTCTGGATGCACAATAGCAATACAGAGAGTAATAAGACCCATGATCTATCCACAGGACATTGCCAATGTCTCTGGGGATAGATAAAAAGGTGGTGACAATATTGTGTAATGGACTCTATCAAGAGACTTAATCTCACTAGGAAATGCAAAATTCATTCAATGGTCATTCACGGACTTCCTACTAGCCTACGATTTCCTCAAGGATGAGCATTGTGTCTCTTCCACCACTGTCTTTCCAGCACCAGTGGGTCCCAAGAAAAGGACAGGCCTGTACAGAAGTGCCAAGCAAACTAAACACAGGGGCAAGGAGCCAAAGTGTCCCAAATGTGCCTATGGCACTATGCTAAGGATACACAGGGAGACACAGGTACTCTCCTTCCCTCCAATGCAGTGGGAGGTGACAGATAAGGAAGGAGGCTTCCAAAGGAGGTGACATTTAAACTGGGTCTTGAAGAACCAAATACAGAAGGGCAAGGATCATTCCAGGCAAAGGAAAAAAACAATGTGCAAAGGCAGAGAGGTGTGAGAGGATGAGGCAGGCTCAGTGACCACTGAGAGGTTCAATATGGCTGAAGCATGGGCACTTTGGGGATGGGAGGTGGGGTATGGAAATGTAAGAAAGATGGAGGCCAGACCACAAACACTTGGATGCTCTGCCAAAAACGTTGGCTGTAGTCTAATCACAGCAGGGGGCCTGAAGAGGTGTTAAAGCAAGGACGTACACAATTGAGTCTGTGTTTAGAAAAACTGACAGGTGTAGGGGGTTAAGAGTAGGGACACAAATGAAAGGAGAGGAGAGATGAGGACCAAGTCAGGAGGAACATTGCTACTGAAATGCAGCGTGGAGTGAGGCGAAGGGGAAAAGAATCCAGGAAGAAATTAAAGCCAGGGAGGCAACAAACCAGGGGACCAGGGCACTCTGAAGTGCCCCCTCCTAGATGGGCCCCATAGGTGATACAGTCACAGAAGATGCTGCTCACGGTAACATCCATACAGTGCACACCCTCTGCAAAACCTCACAATTATGGGGAACCTCTCCCAGTTGTGTGGCCTCCTCTTTCTTTTATGAGCTTCAAAGGCTGACGTACTCACTCCCAAACCCCTCAGGGGGGCGTGGGGCCTATAATTTGGGAGCGTCTCCGCTGGGGTGGAGCAGAGGATGTCCACAGGTAATGAGCCTGACACCTCACTCCTGCAGTCTCTTCAGATTTAAGTCTGGTGGCATGGAGGAGACACACAAACACACACACACACACACACACACACGATGCTCAGTAAAGTGGTCGGTCCTAGGCCGATAGTCTCTGCACTACAATTCCCACAAACCATTGGGAGGCCCAAACCAGCAAGAAAAAGCGGGCTCCCTCTGAATGTCTCATGGGAATTGTAGTGCCATAGTTTTAGGGTAGCGCTATGCGTTCCCTCTGTTGACCCCATTCGAATTCCACCAGGCTCCATCAGAACCTCCCTCAGGTCCTGAAGGAGGTCAGGTGACCCACCCATCACGGTTCATTTGGTCTGGCCCAGACGGAGGTAGGGCAGAGGGATGCGAATAGGGGCTACTCCCTTTAGATACCTTCGCATTTGCTGGGCAAGCGTTCTGTGTCATCGTCCTCCTCCTTCGGCGTCCCAGACACAGTCAAAATGAAAAGCAACATTCCCAACCGCACAGGTCCCATGACCAAGTGCCGTCCACAGCCAGCCACCTCCTGCCTTCAAACCAACTTCGGTCAGGCAGCGGGCCCTTTAAATCCCAAGGCTGTCGGCTGCAACTTTAACCCAGCCTGGCATGGGAAGCGCAAGCGCAGTGCCGGCTCGAAGGGGGCGGGGCTTCGCGGCGCTGCGGGCTTCCCCGCCTGGTTTTGTGGCGCCTCCCAAAGGTCCTGGCTGCCGAGTAGTGAAGGAATAAACTGAAGTAATTACAGCAAGAGGGTGTGTTCCTTACACGTAGGCACAGAGACAGCATTTTTATATAATTTCAGGCCGTGAGCCTAGGGGGCTTATTCCGGCTCGTGGAAGGGGCAGTGACCTGCTCTCGGTCTCTGCCAGGAACTGCTCCTGGAGGGGGCGGGGCCAACATGGCGCCGAGCGCCGGGTGAGCGGCGCTTTGGCGGTGGTGAGAGGCTCTTCCTGCGCTGGGCGCTCGACTGGCGGGGGCGGGTCTGAGTGGTACCCGGGACTAGACCCTTTGAAGGGCCCGTGTGGGGACCCGGAGGAGGACGGTTGGTTGTGTGTCCGTGCGCGTGGGGACTCTGTGTGTTTGCATTGGAGGGATGTTGGGGGGATGAGGTGGGCTCTCTATGCCTTCTTTCTCGCTGTACCCATTGCCTGGGGACCTTAGACCTGCTTCCCTGCTGGGGAAACTGCTACACGGATCTAGGTCAAGTTATTCTTCTGGGAAGCCTTCCTGCCGACTCCACTGACCTGAGATTTCCTGAGGCCGTGGCGTGTTATTTGAGCCTGTACTGGCAGAGGGTACCGCGAGGTATTGAAGGAGTAGTAGGAGTTCGCCAGGGAACTGGGACATGACCGCCTCCTGTATACCCGGCTCCAGGCACAGAGTATGTTGAATAAATGTGTTCCCTGCAGATAAGACTTATAAAAGCGGGGGAGGAGACCTGGGATGGTTTGAGAAGAACTAACTTGTATTTCGCTCCCATCTTCCCGCCCCTCCAACAGGCCCACACCCGCCCTCCACGTACACCTCGCAGTCAGTCCAAAACACCTTTGACATTAGTCTTCCTAATGCCAGCTTGAAGCGAGCCCCTTTCCTTTTGGACACAAAGTAGATTCCAAGCTTGGGCTTATATCTTGTTCACTTGATAACAGTGGTACTTGAGGGTTTAGTGAGCACCTAATTCCTAAGCCTTACAGTTCATTCCTTTATTCAGCAGATATTTATTGAGTATCTAGTGTGTCTCAGGCACCAGTCCGGGGTCTCAGAATACATCAGTGAACGTAACAAAGATCCCTGTCCACACAGTGTGGGAAGGGGAGATGTGGTGGTGATAAACAATAAGAGATAATACAATATGTATCAGCAGATGTTAAATTCCATGGGAATTTTTTTAAAAAAGCAGAGTGGGGGTGGGGTGCAGTATTAAACAGGGTGATGGGAATAGGCAGCCAGGGAACATCTGGGGAAGAGCATTCCAGGCAGAGGGAATAGAGCAAAGGTTTGAACAGCAAGGAGGACAGTGAGGCTGGATCAACGTGGAAGAAGGAAAGAAAGGAGGTCAGAGATGTGATGGGGAGAGAGTAAATCACGAAGGAGCTTGTAGACCATAATAAGGATTTCGAATTTACACTGTGGCACATTGGGAGCCAGTACAGGGTTTTGAGCAGAGAAATGACCCAATGTGGTTTATTTTTTGACAGAATCACTCTGGTTGCTATGTTGGGAATAGATGTAGGGAGCAAGGACGGAAGCAGGAAGACCTTATCAGGAGGCTACTGAAGTTCCCCAGGGGATAGATACTGGGGGCTGGTCACACAGTGGGAGTGGAGGATCAGATTGGATCACCTGGTGGATTTGCTTTGAGGGCTCACATAATGAATGACCGCCTGGATGAATGGTGTTGCTATGAAGATGAGAAAAGCCGAGCCTGGAGCTGGTGGGGTGGGGGTCATCAGGAGTTCAGTTTAGAAGGGATTCTAAGTAGCCAGTTTGATATACAGGTCTGGAGTTCGGAAGAAAGCTGTGGGCTGGGGATATAAATTTGCCATCATCAGCCTATAAGCGATACTGAAAGCTGTGAGAATGGTTGAGGTCACCAAGGGAATAAGTATAGCTCATAGCTGTACAAGGACCAAGCCCAGGCCACTGCAACGTCAAGCAGACGAGGAGAAGAGGAAGCAGCAGCAGAGGAAACGTAGAGAAAGTGGCCAGTGAAGGAGGAGGAAAACCAAGAGAAGGTGGAGTAGCAGTGGTGTCAAGACAGTGTCTCCAGAAGGTAGTAGGCAACTATGTCCTGTGCTGCTGAGAGGTTGAGGAAGATGGGGAAGGAGATGGGACTTTGGATTTGACAATGTAGAGTCACAACTTGATGAGTGGTTTCAGGCACCTAATGGAGTCAAAAGCCTGACTAGAGTAGGTTCAAGAGGAATTAGAGATAAGACAGCTCTTTCAGGGAGTTTTGTTGCAAAGAGGAGCCAAAAACCCCCAGGGTATCGCTAGTAGAGAAAGTGGGATGAAGAAAAGATGTTTTTCTCTTTTTAAAATTATTTATTTATTTATTTTTGGCTGTGTTGGGTCTCCATTGCGGTGCGTGGGCTTCTCATTGCGGTGGCTTCTCTTGTTGCGGAGCACTGGCTCTAGGCACGCAGGCTTCAGTAGTTGTGGCACGCGCGCTCAGTAGTTGTGGCTCGCGGGCCCTAGAGCACAGGCTCAGTAGTTGTGGTGCACGGGCTTAGTTGCTCTGCGGCCTGTGGGATCTTCCCAGACCAGGGCTCGAACCCGTGTCCCCTGCATTGGCAGGCAGATTCTTAACCACTGTGCCACCAGGGAAGTCCAAGATTTTAAAAAAAATTTTAACTGTGAAATACACATAACATAAAACGTACCATCTTAACCATTTTTAAGTGTACACGTTAGGGGCAATTAAGTACATTCACACCCATCACCACCATCCATCTCCAGAACGCTTTTCATGTTGTAAAACAGAAACTGTACCTATTAAACAATAACTCCCCCTTCTCCCCTTCCCAGCTTCTGGCACCCACCACTCTGCTTTCTGTCTCTATGAATTTGACTACTCGAAGAACCTCATATAATTGGAATCATACAGTATTTATCCTTTTGTGACTGGCTTATTTCACTTAGCACAACGTTCTCAAGGTTTATTTGTGTTGTGGCGTGTGTTAGAATTTCCTTCCTTTTTAAGGCTGAAAAATATTCCATGGTATGGGTGGACCACTGTTTTGTTTTTTCAAGATGGGAGAAATAACTGCATTTTGTAGGGCTAATGGGAGTGATCTGGTAGGTCGAGGAATTGACGATGATGCAGGGATGGGGGGGGATGCTGGAGGGGTGCTTGAGTTGGGAGGGGCATGACCAGAATCTCTACAGTGAAAGGGAAGGCAGAGCATGAGGGCGCCCGTGCTGCTCAGCGGGTGCACGTGGTGGTGGGAGCCTGGGGAGGTCTCTTCTGATGGCCAAAAATCAGGGAGGAGAAGAGGTGTCAGATGAGACAGAAGGAACCTGGGTGCACTGAAATGTAGGACCATCAGGCAGCATTAAGGGCCCGTTTGAAGTTCGTGGCCATGAAAAAAGTGCACATTGGTCAGGATGGTTGTGCATTTTCTCATCACATTCAATTGTAAGGGCACATAGGCTCAGACAGGGAGAGTTGTTTTTAACCAATGTTGTATTTTTGTCAAGTGTGAATAATGATGCATGATGGAGCAAGACACGTGAAAGCAGGCACGTTAACAACCTTAGGGAAAAAAGATGCTTTCCACATTTTACAGAGAATAAGCCCAAAGCTGGGAGAATTTAAGTAGCTTGCCCAGGTAACATAGCTAGGTAGTGCCGGGGATGGGATTTAAACTGAGAGCTGAGATCATTCCGCTATACCTCACTTGTACTGTGCCTGGCGTAGAATCAGCTCGATAAATTGTGTCGAACTGGGTCCAAGTGCTACCTCCTCCTGTTCAGCCGGTGCTGTTCACATGGGGATGGACAAAGGGCACCTCCCGAGCCCCTTCCCCCCTCACATCTCCACTGTTCTCCCTTTGTTGCGGCCCCTCCTGAACCGACAGCCCCTCTTCTTGGGATGTCCCTCTCACGTTTCCTCTCACCCCCCTGCCAGGGTCTCCATCTCTCCGCCCTGGGGCATCTTCCTTCAGGGGAGGGGAGGAGGGGCTCCAGAATGGCTGAGGAGAAGAAGCTGAAGCTGAGCAACACCGTGCTGCCCTCGGAGTCCATGAAGGTGGTGGCCGAGTCCATGGGCATCGCTCAGATTCAGGAGGAGACCTGCCAGCTGCTGACAGATGAGGTCAGCTACCGCATCAAGGAGATTGCACAGGTACCCTGGCCTCACTGCACTGTATGGAGGATGCTGCCCAGGCCGCCTTCTTCCCCAGGGTCTCAGGCTGACATCTGTCCTCCCATCCCTAGGATGCCTTGAAGTTCATGCACATGGGGAAGCGGCAGAAGCTCACCACCAGTGACATTGACTACGCACTGAAACTAAAGAACGTCGAGGTGATGGGAATGCACAGGACTGAGGGGGCAGGGTACTGAGACCTCCCATACGGTACATTTGCCTCAGCCAGACCTGCCTGCTTGGGCTCCCTTCTCATCCCAGTGTCTCTCCGTCCTGTTGTAGCCACTGTATGGCTTCCACGCTCAGGAGTTCATTCCTTTCCGTTTTGCCTCTGGTGGCGGCCGGGAGCTTTACTTCTACGAGGAGAAGGAGGTTGATCTGAGCGACATCATCAATACCCCTCTGCCCCGAGTGCCCTTGGATGTCTGCCTCAAAGGTTGGGGGAGGGGAGGGGAGAGCAGGGGATGGGGAGCAGGGAGGGGAAGGAGCAATGCGTATGGGTGTGAGGAAGCACGCGGTGAAGGAGCCCTCAGTGTGAGATCCCTGGTGAGGAACAGGAAGGAAAGCATGCATCCCTTAGTGTGGAGTGACTTCCTGATGTCTGCGCTCAGCAGTTCACCTCGACACCTTCCTTCCTCGCAGCTCACTGGCTGAGCATTGAAGGCTGCCAGCCAGCTATTCCAGAGAACCCACCCCCAGGTAACCTCCGTGCCCAAAGTCCAGCACCCACCCCTCTCCTTCCTCCTCCCTTTACATCTCCTGCCTTGACTGCTTTCCCACCAGCTCCCAAAGAGCAGCAGAAGGCTGAGGCCACAGAACCCCTGAAGTCAGCCAAGCCAGGCCAGGAGGAAGACGGCCCCTTGAAAGGCAAAGGTCAGGGGGCCACTCCAGCTGACGGCAAAGGTCAGTACCGCTGGGCCAGGCCTCTTGCCCCAAAGCCAGATGGTTATTTGTGAAGTGGGTGAGGTCAGGGCAGAGGGCAAGACCTCAGGCCAGGAGCCCCAGAGAGGATCAAGAAGCCCAAGGGAAGCCGGGTCTCCTTGGGTGGGGGAGGTGAGTGTTGAGGTTTGTCTGGTGCTGAGGCCTCCTCTGGAGCTTTCTTTTCTAAACCTGTCTTCCCACTTCACACAGGGAAAGAGAAGAAGGCACCACCCCTGCTGGAGGGGGCGCCTCTGCGACTGAAGCCCCGAAGCATCCACGAGTTGTCTGTGGAGCAGCAGCTGTACTACAAGGAGATCACAGAAGCCTGTGTGGGCTCATGTGAGGCCAAGAGAGCGGTGAGGCCCCGCCACCCGGTCCTGGCTTTACCCCTTCGAGGCCACCCGCGCCCCCCCCACAGTGTCGGCCCCTCTTCACTCGCTCCCCTCCCCCCACAGGAGGCTCTGCAGAGCATTGCCACGGATCCAGGGCTCTACCAGATGCTGCCGCGCTTCAGCACCTTCATCTCAGAGGGGGTGAGAGGACGCGGGAGGGGGGGACCTAGGACAAGGTTCCGGGGTGAGGAGGAGGGAGAGGAAGCTCACCGGAAGGGTCCCGCTGCCCCATCGCTTCTCTCCCCGCAACCAGGTGCGCGTGAACGTGGTGCAGAACAACCTGGCCCTGCTCATCTACCTGATGCGCATGGTGAAGGCGCTGATGGACAACCCTACTCTGTATCTAGAGAAATACGTGAGTGGACCTGCCCGCCCACCTCTCATCCCAGGCTCTGGGGACCCTGCCACCACCCACAGGAGACCATTTGTCAGAATCAGCTGACTTGAGGCTTCTCCCTTAGGTGCATGAGTTGATCCCGGCTGTGATGACCTGCATCGTGAGCAGACAGCTGTGCCTGCGGCCAGATGTGGACAATCACTGGGCGCTCCGGGACTTTGCCGCCCGCCTGGTGGCCCAGATCTGCAAGCATTTCAGCACAACCACTAATAACATCCAGTCCCGGATCACCAAGACCTTCACCAAGGTGAGCCGTTTCCCATCACTACCTGGGGTCGTCACCAGAACAATGAGAGCTTCACTCAAACCAGTGTGGCTGCAGGAAATGATGCTGAAACCCAGGGGCAAGGGGGCAGGGGGACGGGGACTGGGACTTGAGCTGCATCTCTGATGTCTTTTTTTTTTTTTTCCTAATTGTGTGATTCCATTAACTTAAAGTTCAAAAACCAGAAAAACTAATCTCTGGTGGTAGAGGTCACTTTGGGGAGGAGAGGGTGGCTGGGAAGGAGCTGTCACGTCTAAATGGTTTACTAGGAAAATGTGTGTATGAGAGACTTTGGTCCTTAGTAGTTAGCTTTTCACACCCCTTTATTTGGGTTTATTTTCCATCCCCTTACAGAGCTGGGTGGATGAGAAGACCCCGTGGACAACGCGCTACGGCTCCATCGCAGGCCTGGCAGAGCTGGGACATGATGTTAGGCCCCAGCGGGGGGGAGCCCTGGGGGAGGGGAGGGATCGTGAGGTCAGAGTGGGCAACAGCCCCCTGACCTGGGAGACCCTGTGGTGACCCCAGGGCCCCGGCTTCTCCCCTTCTCTTCCAACAGGTGATTAAGACTCTGATTCTGCCACGGCTACAGCAGGAGGGGGAGCGGATCCGCGGGGTCCTGGATGGCCCTGTGCTGAGCAACATCGACCGCATAGGGGCTGACCACGTGCAGAGCCTCCTCCTGGTGACAAAGCCCCACCCCCACCCTCCCCCACTTCTTCTCGCTGATCCCCCTCTCCACCCCCCACCACACACACACAAGGACAATGTTTAGCAAACATACAGCATCTTCCATTCATCTATCCCATCTTCGCCTCTTACGTTCAGGGCACACCTCAGAGTCCCATATTGTTTCGCAGCTGGAAAAACAGAGGCACTAAGGGGTTAATAACAAATAAGAGTCTTAACTCTCAGCCTGTGACTTCAAGCCTGCACTGCTCCTGATGCTTCTGCACCACTCTGGCCCATTCTGTGCAAGGCACATGCCCTGTGGACCTTAGATATCACCAGTGTAATTACTCAGCAAGTTCTCCACTCCCACCAGCCGGTGCCCAAGTTCTCTATGAAGAAAAACCACAGCATTCCTTACACACTGATAACCCAGCACAGCCTGGCTTCCAGCAGGAACACACTGAAACAGTGGGTGACCTCCTTTCTCACCCCTTCCCCCGTCATGATTCTCAGAGTCACTGCCCTCCCTCTACCTGGCTGCTCTTTGCCTTCTCTCTGCAGAAACACTGTGCCCCTGTTCTGGCAAAGCTGCGCCCACCGCCTGACAATCAGGATGCCTATCGGGCAGAATTTGGGTCCCTCGGGCCCCTCCTCTGCTCCCACGTTGTCAAGGCCCGGGCCCAGGCTGCTCTGCAGGCTCAGCAGGTCAACAGGACCACTCTAACCATCACTCAGGTCAGTACAGGGTCCGGGGAGGACAGGTGAGCAAGTGGTAAGGTGAAAATGAAGAAAAACACTGCAGTGGTTCCCATCCAGGCGGGACTCACAGACACCACGAACTCGGGCACACACACTGACTTTTGTAAAACACAGGCCCCCTGAGTCAGCCGTCTTTGGGGGTGTCTAGGCCCCCTTTGTGATGATGTCCCAAACCCAGTGAGACCCACGAGGAGCAAGAGGAGCCCTTCTTTTCATAGCTGGTATCTTTCGTAGATGGTGACGTTTTCTTCCTGCTACTTCTTCCTACAGCCCCGGCCCACGCTGACCCTCTCACAGGCCCCCCAGCCTGGCCCTCGGACCCCTGGCTTGCTGAAGGTCCCTGGCTCCATTGCGCTGCCTGTCCAGACACTGGTGTCTGCTCGAGCTGCTGCCCCGCCTCAGCCTTCCCCTCCCCCAACCAAGTTCATTGTCATGTCATCATCCTCCAGCGCCTCATCCACCCAACAGGTATGTGGAGCCGTGTGGGACCAGGGATGGTGGGGACTGTCACCATGTCACTGATTATTTGGTTGGAGCAAGGGAAGTATCCCCCGGCCTCGGGTGTGGGAAGAGTGCAAGGCAAGCGGCACTGCCTTTCTCCCCACCCAGGTCCTGTCCCTCAGCACCTCGGCCCCTGGCTCAGGCTCCACCACTACCTCTCCCGTCACCACCACCGTCCCCAGCGTGCAGCCCATCGTCAAGCTGGTCTCCACCGCCACAAGCGCGCCCCCCAGCACTGCCCCCTCTGGTCCTGGGAGTGTCCAGAAGTACATCGTGGTCTCTCTTCCCCCCACAGGGGAGGGCAAAGGAGGCCCCACCTCCCATCCTTCTCCAGCCCCTCCCCCGACCTCAGCCCCCTCCCCGCTTGGGGTCAGCGCCCTATGTGGGGGGAAAGCGGAAGCTGGGGAGAGCCCCCCTCCCGCTCCAGGGACTCCGAAGGCTAACGGCTCACAGCCCCCCGGATGTGGCTCCCCTCCGCCTGCGCCTTGATGCTGTCACACGTCTGCTGACCTTCTTCTCTCCCCTGTACTCACTCTCTCTCGCTCTCTCTCTTTCTCTCCCTCTTTCTCTCCCTCTCTCTCTCTCACACACACACACACACACACGCACGCATGCACGCACGCACGCGCGCTGGGTGGAAGGAAATAGTAGTCAGCTTCCCCCACGTGACTTTCTCTTTCAGTATTGTACAGTCAGTTCCTCAGAATAAAAGTTTGATTTTTAAATTGTGATCCACCTCAGTCCTTCCTGGGTCAGATCCCACGGACGGGCGGTTGAACCCGTGGAGCCCCCTGCTCTCTAGGACTCAGGACCCTTCCAGCCAGAGCCACAGCCACAGGCCAGGATGCTGGGAGAGGAAAGGTTGTCCTTCTCCTGATGCACAGATCACTCCTTTGCCACCCGTGTCCTCGTTTGGGAGCCTCAGATCCGAATGACGTAGGCGTCGCTGTGGCTTAGGTGTCGCACCCACTTGTGGGGATTGGCGTTGCCGCATGGTCTGAACGCCAGCCTGAGGAAGCGAACCTGGAGGCCAGAGCATGTGTGCCGGGGAAGTTCAAACGAGAGACTGGCGGGGCCCAGCCCCAGAGGAGGAGCCGAGGTGGAGGGGCCTTGGCCGGGAGGCCCGGGGAGGCCCGGGACGTCCATCTGTGAGGGGCAGAGGCAGGAGGAGGGTGCTGAAGGCCTCAACAGGAAGGTGGGCAGGGGAGCCGAGGGGCCAGGAAGCTGACCACACGGACCGACCGCATTAGGAGGCTATGGGTCAGGGCTGAAAGTGGAGGTGGGAGGAGAGGGCCTTCGAGACTCAGCGGCTGATACCTGGAAAAGGCCTGAGAGCTGAGAGCCTCCCTGCACCCGAGGAAGGTCCCAGCGAAGGGCTCCCTCCCCCAGCTCTGCCTTCTGCTCTGGGCTGCTCAGCTCCTGAGACAGGCTGGAGTTGGGAGAGGAAAGGTGCTGGGTTAGCCCCTGCCATCCCACAGCTCCCACTCTCCTCCCCCAGTGCCGTCCTGTTGTCCGGAGAAGCTGGTAAACCCACCCGCGGGCCCACGGTGCACACACGCTCACCTGACCACCCCCCGTGGCAGGGGAAGGTGCAGCCTGACGTTGAGAGCCTGGCTGCAAGGAAAAAAGGACCAGAGTCAGCCCCAGGAAGGTCGTGACGTGTCCCATCTTCATTACTGTCACGACTGCAGTTCTGCACAAGTGCCACCCCACCCCCTTCCCAAACTCTAGTGCCTCTAAGCTGGATTCTGAGGCTGGTGGCCGCACCTGAAGGTGGAAACAGCAGGTATCTTGGCCTTGTCTCCTACCCTACGTAGCTGGACTACGCTTGGCTACCCCCACTTACCTCTTTGGGGGCAGGTCACATCGTAACTTCAGATAAACCTGGAGCCTGGGTGGGAGGGCACAACACCGTTACTCAGGCCCTATCCTACCGGCATCTCACCATCCCTCACACAGGGCCCCCACGTGTGGCTGTGTGGATGTTGCCCCAAGACAGAGAGAGAAGGGCTGAAATCCACCCAACTCCACGAGGCATTACATTCATGGAGCTGGGTCCACTTGTGGGGGAGGGTGCCTTTACTAACTCGGAGCCAATATCACCACCACCACCACTCCTTCACAGCCAGTCCGAGGGGTAAACAGATACGTGCATATATGTGCACACACACACACGTACATGCGTACACATGTTGGCTTGGGCTCCAGAGAACTTCTAGAACGGGGAAACGGTCTCACCTGCCTGAGCCTCGGTCCCAGTGCACGGAGGGAAAGAGCCGGAAGGGGAGCGGGGAGGGGAGGTCATCTGAGAGTTGATACCTCATCACCGTCAGCTGAGACCAGAGAGCAATGGAGGTGAGTTTGGTCTCCTCACACCTGAACTGCCTCCCTTCCCCTCGGTAGGTGGAATATGCTAGGCCAGCCCGATCCTGACCTCACCGTGAGGTGGCTGCAGGCGGAGGATTCGATGAGATTCAAACTCATCCAGATGCACCGAGCTGTGAAATGAGACCTCATCCACCCGAATTCCTGGCCCATAACCTGGAAAGAGAGAAAGACCCCTCTCCTAACCCATATTTTGGGAGGGGGTGGGGATCTGTCTCTAACTTCCCTCCATGAAAACTTTGACAGTGACCTCGACCTAGGAGAGAAAGACCCACTTTCTCACCTCTCAGTTCTGACTTCCCCACACAAAACTCTTCCGTCAAGCCGATGCGCATCTCTGTCAGAGGAAGGAACAGAAGAAGCAGCTGCCAAATACCCCATACATGCCACCAAGGAGCCTGTCCCAAACCCCACCCTGGTCCAGCCTGCAGGCTGCTCACCAGAGCCGCTGGGCAGAAAGCTCTTGAGTCGTATCTCTCCCTGCACGTCCACCTTCAGCAGCGAGCCCTGAGAGTGACAGGAGGTCAATGCCCAGACGTGACCTCCCCGACACACTTCCCAAAGGCCGCCTGTCCTCAGCCGCAGGGCTGGGGGCCCGAACTTACGTTAGAGGCTATCAGGACGGACAATCTCTCGACCACATCCAGAAACACTTCATTCTTTTGGCTCTAAGGAAAGAGAGATTTGGGGTTTGATCACCCTGTGTTCTAATGCGGACAGGCAGAAAGGACAGGACAGTGGAGGCTGGAGCCCTGGGTTGGGGACGCGGGTAAGGAAAGGGATCATCCACGTCTAGAGAAGGTGGAAAGATATGCTGGGATCTTGGACTCTGGGGGCTGAGAGAAAAATCAGAGGATCTGAACCCATCAATCCCTCCCTCACCTGGTCAGAGCGGCTGGACAGCACCGGGCGGCTGGCTGCACTGCTGGGGGCCACTTTGCTCTGTTGTGTCTCAGCCCCAAACTGGAAATCATCCAAAGCAATCAATCCTCACGTATGACACTTCCCACTAACCCTCCTCAATCCTGGCCTCATCTGTCCCTGGACTGACCAAGCCAACGCTGCTGAGGTCAAAGAGGCTGAAGGGTTTGCTGACCACAGCCTCCGTCTGGATGAAGTTCCTCAGCATCTCCGTGGATGTGGTCTGTACATAACCATAGTCCTATAGATAAAGGAAGGGCAGTCTTTGGGTGGTCGGGGGGGAAGGGGTGAAAATGAATGGACTCAGCCTCCCAACCATGGGATGCATCTTCAGGGAACGGGGGACAGGGAGGGACATCCTTGGACCTCACCAGCACTTCATCCAGAAGTTCGTAGACCAGAGCCACGTTGCGGGAGATGGTCGCCTCACCCAGAGAGCCACAGTAATCACCCAGGAGCGTGGCTAGCCTGCAGAACAGGACGGAGTGTGCATACCCTCCTCCTCTCTGACCCCCACGCCCGTGTGCCCAGCCCCGCCCTCCTCACCGGGAGAGCAGCTCTAGGAGGCTGAAGGGAGAAATGTTTTCTGAAGTCGTGGCCACCAAATAGAGGCCGCTGTGTCTGATGTGAATAAAATGACGGTCATCGTGGTGCTGAGGCAGAGGCAGGGGAAAAAAGCATTAGCAAGAAAGAGTTGTGGTGATTCCTGGCCCATGAGACCTGGGCTGGTATCCTGATTCCCCTACTTACTAGCAGCGTGACTTGTGCCACATACGAAACCTCCCCAGGGCCCAGCTTCCTAATGTGTAAATGGAGTTAATAATAGTACCTACTCCAGAGTGGCTGAGGATTGAGACGTGCGGGGAGCTGTGCCTGGTGCATTGTGAGCGCTCAATAAACTTCTATTAATATTATTTAGAGGAATGTACCCCCCAACTGGAAGCTGTCAAGGAAACAGCCCTGGGAGGAGGCGCCCCCCACCCAGACCCACCAAGCGCATCCCCTCCACCCCACCCCCGCCAGTGGTTACCATGACAACCGGAGACTCGTCTCCAGGCAGTCCCGTCAGCTTCCGGTAGAAGAGCTCGGCCACATCCCGGCCTCCGCTGTCTCCGCGGACTGACCGGGTGGAAGGACAGCTAAGGAGCTGGCGACACTGGCTGGCTCGGGGGCACTAGTCCCACCCAGCCCCTCCCCCCGGCCCCGCTGGCCAAGGATACAGTCCTTGTAGATGAGCGGGTCCCCCTTGGAGGACAGAATGAAGAACTGGGAAATCATGGCCGTTCTGGAGAGTAGACCAGGAGACAGCGAAAGTTGGGCCTGCCCCGCCCTGCGGCCCCGGAACAAAAGGACGCGAGTGGGCTGGCCCTTTAAGAGCGATTCTCCTTCGACCGCGGGAAACCCGGCGCCCGCCCAAGCCTCGCCCAGCCTTTCCCTCCTGACACCCGCGCCGCTCCCCCGTCACTCAGCCCAGATTCGCCCACTGATTGGTCGTGGCAGGGGCCCGTGGTGAGTGGGAGGGGCGGAGGGCGTCTTCTCCGATTGGCCCGCACTCAGCGGCGCTGGTCACGTGGGGAGCGACGTTTCGCGCCAATTTCGGTTGGTCGGCCGCAGTCCGCCGCGCGGACGTTTTAGCTGTCGGGGGAGTGAGAGCTCAGAGCCCGCCAACTGCTGCCGCACAGCCCTCGGCAGCAATGGCACTAAAGGACTACGCGCTCGAGAAAGGTGAGGGTCTGCAAGTGTGGGAGGGGCGTCCTGCGCGGGAAGTTTCCTGGTCAACACCTGTTTGGGTGAGCGGGGGTCCCGGGGGGCCGAGTTCGGCGCGCGAGGCCCGAGGCAGGGTCGGGAGGTGGCGGGTTGGAGGCACGCGGTGCCTGGGATGCGCACGGGGCGCCGAGGTCGGGGGAAAGCTGGTAACCGCGTACGGGAAAGAAGTAGGGGTCGTGGTGGGTGGGCGGACACCCCGGCTGTAAGTTCCAGAAGGAAGGGTCGCGCCAAGGGGAGACCAGGACCTCAGGGAACCCTGTCAAAGGTTCAGCGTCGGCCACCCGTAGTCCCACTTCCCTCCGCGCTCTTAGGTGCTCCGAGCGCCCGAGACGCGCCGAAGCCCGGGGGCGGGCAGGCCGGCCGCTGCGCTCCGGGATTGGCCGCGTTAGGCCCACCTCCAAACGGAAGTGGAGGCGGGCGGAAGTTGCGCGACGCCGCTGGAAGGAGTGTCGTGTGTAAACAGTGTCCTTCCGCGCGGTGGCCTCGCAGAGAGCTGCTGAGGGTGGGGGCCTGCCTGGAATTGGGGTGCTTATCAGAGGCAGAGGGAGGAAGTGGTGGGGTGGGACGGTGTGGCCCTTGACGAGCCGGCCAATCGCCGGACGGGCTCCCGCCTCGGGCGGAGGAATCCCGGGCTGTGAGGCGGCGGCATCTGGGCCCATGTGCTTCTTTGTTTACTAAGAGCGGAAGCCGTGGCGGGAGAGGGGGTGGGGCGGAGGACGGGCCTGGTGGCGGAGATCCCAGTGAGGGCAGCGGTTTAGGGGACCGAAAGAAAAGGAGAATAAAACGCGTAGAAGAAACGCTGAGAACCTTGAGACCTGAGTGTGTTGCAGGCTGTGGGAGGCCCTTAGGAAACGGTACTGAGATTTCTAACTAAGACAGAGAGTGGAATTCCCCTGCGGGGAGGGTATCGGTTAATACTCTAAACTGCCCGGGGCCGCTTTTTCTTCCCTAGGCCAAAACAGGCTTGTGAAAAAGAGTTCTGCCCTGTTTGGGGAGAATTAGGTAGGCTTATTTGAATGTTGTTTCGATTGATGAGTTCATCGATCTCATTTTAAATGGAGGTGAGTTTCTTAGATTTCTCTCAGACGGGTTTTGCAGTAAGGTATCTGAAGAAAGGTTGACTTTTACGGTTTTACGCTTTTCTTATAGAAAAGGTGAAGAAGTTCCTACAAGAGTTTTACCAGGATGATGAATTTGGCAAGAAGCAGTTCAAGTATGGGAACCAGTTGGTAAGTCTAAGGTTGGGTAGAGGGAATGGGGCAGTGACTTAAGCTATAAGAGCTATTAGCAAACGCATTTTTGTGTAAGTTACAAGCTTAACACCATACCTGATACCAGTGTATCACTAGATTCACAATAATTAAGGTATTTTCAGGGGTTAGGGGAGCTGAGAAGTGAGTCTTGTTCTGTCTCACACTGCTGTTTCTCCCATGTGGGGCCTGGGACCTGTGTGCTGAGCTTGTGGTGACAGATTTTTGCTTGTCAACACTGGTAAGGTAAATTTGGCCCCGTGGCTATCTCCTCCCCACCCCAGGTTCGATTGGCTCATCGGGAGCAAGTGGCAGTGTACATAGACCTAGATGATGTAGCTGAGGATGACCCTGAGCTGGTGGATTCAATTTGTGAGAACACCAAGCGCTATGCCAAGCTCTTCGCTGATGCTATACAAGAGCTGCTGCCTCAGTACAAGGAGAGGGAGGTGAGAAAAATGCAAGGCATGGAACTTAGGTATTTTTCGAGAAGGTTCTTGGGGGGGCAGAAAGCTGGTTTTCCAAGCTGGCAGAAAGGGGGCAGTGGTTTCTGCCTGGCCCCCTTTACGTGCTGTCCTTTCACCATCCTGGTTTTTGCCTTTTCCTTTAGGTGGTAAATAAAGATGTTCTGGACGTTTACATTGAGCACCGGTTGATGATGGAGCAGCGGAGCCGGGACCCTGGGGCAGCCCGGAGCCCCCAGAACCAGTATCCTCCTGAACTCATGCGCAGATTGTGAGTGGTCTCGGTTGGGAAGGTTGTGGGGTTTGATCCCCAGAGCCTTGCTAATGACAGTTTTTTCCCTTAGTGAGCTGTATTTTCAAGGTCCCAGTAGTAACAAGCCTCGCGTGATCCGGGAAGTACGGGCTGACTCTGTGGGGAAATTGGTAACAGTGCGTGGAATTGTCACTCGTGTCTCTGAAGTCAAACCCAGGATGGTGGTGGCCACTTACACATGTGACCAGTGTGGGGCAGAGACCTATCAGCCGGTATGTATGGAGCAATGAACAGTGCATTTTGTAAGAACTAGTTTTGTCTGTTGATGTTCACTTGTTATATTCTCTGATTATTGTAAAACATGCTGGTGTGTTCACCTTTCATTTTCTTTTTAGCGTGGAGTGGTCTTTTTGTACATTCTATGTTTTTTGTGTTTGTTGACATCTACCAGGGATAACGTAAGACATTCGAAAGTTCCCTGGCTTTTGTGACAAAGAGGAATGTGATTCAAGTAACTGACTCTAAGGAGCTCCTTTTCTTATGATTTCCTTTGGTGTTTCCTTTTTTGCATCTTAGATCCAGTCTCCCACTTTCATGCCTCTGATCATGTGCCCGAGCCAGGAGTGCCAGACCAACCGCTCAGGAGGGCGGCTATACCTACAGACACGTGGCTCCAAGTTCATCAAATTCCAGGAGATGAAGATGCAAGAACATGTGAGTTTGGGGTGTGTGGTCCAGGACCCAGGGAAGGTGGAGCTTGGGAGTCCACTGGAGTAGGAGGAAGGAATTAGAACAAGCGAGAGAGGAGCTGAGGCAGAGAAGTCATCAAGAGCAGCAGGGAAGTTTAACTGGAACTTTCTGATTAAGTTGGGAAGAGGTAAAGGAGAGCTCAGCTTCCCTCCTGTCGGCTTCTGTGAGGCTGAGCAGGCCGGGAAGCGGAAGAGCAGTGTGCCTGGGGAGGGGAGGTTAGTCTTTGGAGGCCTCACGTACCCTTCTCCCCCAGAGCGACCAAGTGCCCGTGGGAAATATCCCTCGCAGCATCACGGTGCTGGTAGAAGGAGAGAACACAAGGATTGCCCAGCCCGGGGACCATGTCAGTGTCACCGGTATCTTCTTGCCAGTCCTGCGCGCTGGGTTCCGACAGATGGTCCAGGTGAGAAAGGGAGTTTAAAATGAGGAGGTGGTTTTTCCTTTTTCTTCTTATCCCCTTATTCTTATCCAGCCCCACAGAGAAAAGTGTCAATAGCAGGACACCAAAGCAGAACGAAAGGTTTTGTTAGGAACTCCTGAGGGAATCACGTGGATGGGCAAGTTAAAGAACTTCATCCACACTCTGGCATCTTCCTGCCCAAGGGTTTACTCTCGGAAACTTACCTGGAAGCCCATCGGATTGTGAAGCTGAGTAAGAGTGAGGATGATGAGTCTGCGGCAGGAGAGCTGAGCAGGGAGGAGCTGAGGCAAGTTGCAGGTGAGGGGTCGGGGGAAAGACTGGGAATGTGAGTTTCATCCGAGCACTTTTATCCCCCAGAAAACGCTCTTACTTTTCCCTTTCCCACAGAGGAGGATTTCTATGAAAAGTTGGCAGCCTCCATCGCCCCAGAGATCTATGGGCATGAAGATGTGAAGAAGGCGCTGCTGCTCCTGCTGGTGGGAGGGGTGGACCAGTCTCCTCGAGGCATGAAGATCAGGGGTGAGTGCAGCGTTCAGGAAGAAAGGATGGGTGACCAGGGCCCGTGTCTCCTAGGCCACAGAATAAAAGAGCAGGCGTCTTGGCTTCCAGGGCACGGGGTGGGATTAAAAGAAATGGTGCTGGGCATGATGGGGGCAGACTCGAAAGCACTTTTCTCTGTGTTTGGACGACTTGCATTGAAGGAATAGTCATTCGGGGGCTTCCTTCGCTTCCTCCAGGCAACATCAACATCTGCCTGATGGGGGATCCTGGTGTGGCCAAGTCTCAGCTCCTGTCTTACATTGACCGCCTGGCCCCCCGCAGTGAGTAGTCAGATCCTGGGAAAGGCAAACTGAGGGCAGGAGTAGGGCCACCACGCGTCCGTGTTTGTTCTTTTCTGGGAGCGTTGGGGAATGGAGATTCAGTGCCACCACCCACAGACCTGCAGCTGCCTTGGGAAGGCCTGGCTGGGTCAGAGCAGTTCAGTACAGGCCTTGCCTCACTAGCCCTGTTTCTTCTGTCCTTTGCCCCGTTGTTGCTCCCTTGTTCTCTTTGCTTTTCCTAAACATGTCTATTTTCTTTCTCCCTGGCCCTTTTGTTCAGGCCAGTACACAACAGGCCGCGGCTCCTCCGGAGTGGGGCTCACAGCAGCTGTGCTGAGAGACTCCATGAGTGGAGAGCTGACCTTGGAGGGTGGCGCCCTCGTGCTGGCTGACCAGGGTGTGTGCTGCATTGATGAATTTGACAAGATGGCGGAGGCTGACCGCACGGCCATCCACGAGGTCATGGAGCAGCAAACCATCTCCATTGCCAAGGCAGGCATTCTCACAACGCTCAATGCCCGCTGCTCCATCCTGGCTGCCGCCAACCCTGCCTATGGGCGCTACAACCCTCGCCGCAGCCTGGAGCAGAACATACAGCTTCCTGCTGCGCTGCTCTCCCGATTTGACCTTCTCTGGCTGATCCAGGACCGGCCCGACCGAGACAACGACCTGAGGTGAATGCATCTCAGCACTCAAGGAGACACCCCTTAGTAACAATCTCTGGAGTTGGAGGAGAAATTGGAAAACTCATTGTCTGCTCATGGAAACTCCAGAACCTTTCCCTCATACAGCAGGGGCTGGTCGACAGTTGTTAGAGTGGGTCAGGGTTGAAAGTTTGTCCCTGCCAGGCTGTGAGGTGGAGAGGTGAGGGGCCAAGATGTAGAGTTCGGGTGTGACGTGTAGCGCCAAAGAGACAGGGTTCCTACTTGTCTCCCCTCTTCCCAGGTTGGCCCAGCACATCACCTATGTGCACCAGCACAGCCGGCAGCCCCCCGCCCAGTTTGAACCTTTGGACATGAAGCTTATGAGGTAGGAGAGCTGGGCGAGGACTGGTGTACTTGCCCAAGTGCCATGGGTGGCAGTGTCTTGGCCTGTGTGTGCGTCTCTTGAAAAGCTTTCACTCTTCCACCACGTGTCCTGAGTCTAAGAACAGTGAGCCTAGGTCCCCCCTAGCCTGGCCATGGGAGACCATGACGCAGAACCTGCCTTTCATGCTACCTCCACCAGCTGCCCATCTCAGGGTTGAGACAGGTTCAGATTTTTGGCAAAGCTGCATCCTGCTGCACAGATACCTGATAGCACTATTCTCTCCATGGAGTCTGTCTGGGGACTCGCAGGGATTCCTCAAGTTTTTCTTCTTTTTACCTATTCACTTGAAGTTAACAAAACCATCTCTTAAGACAGGTGGATTTGTCATATTCATGTAAAGGCCATTTTCCTAAAAATTGGGGAATAATTTGAAATGCAGCATTTGGAGAAATCCATCAGTGATATTTAAGCAAGCAAATACTCACCTGCTGATTTTGTTTTTTCTACTTAAAAATACCCTGCCCCCAAAGTAAGACTCTTAATGCAGAAAAAACATACTCTTTGCACCCCTCTCTCCTGCTTTCCCACAGACGTTACATCGCTATGTGCCAGGAGAAGCAGCCCACGGTGCCAGAGTCTCTGGCCGACTACATCACAGCAGCGTATGTGGAGATGAGGCGAGAGGCCTGGGCCAGTAAGGACGCCACCTACACTTCCGCCCGGACTCTGCTGGCTATCCTGCGACTGTCCACTGCTCTGGTGAGTGGCGGTCCGTCCTGCTGGAGGATGGTCCACTTGGGCTGTACTGGGCAGCCTGCCTGAACGTGGCCCCTCTCGTGGCCTCCCTCCTCCGCGCAGGCCCTGCCGGGGCTAAAGTGCTGACAGTGCAGATAGCGGTCCTCTCCGTGCTACCGCACTGTGGGTACTTGCTGCTCCAGCAGGGCACGCCCAGCGTCCGTGGAGGGAAAGGTCTTCTCCCTGCTTCTCCGACCTCACCGAGGGGGTGGATGAGTTAACTTCACTCCCCGTGTCCCAGATCCTGTGCTAGGAACGTTCATTTCTGTCCTCACATCTCGGACCTTAGTCCTGGGGGCTCCAAAGTGCTGTTCGTGCAGGTAGTGTGATTACCTGACCTACTGCTGAGCTAGCACTTCCCGAGCCCCAGGGACACTACCTCTCTGCCAGTTGCTTTCTTGGCTGAGCTCCCCAAGCTCCATCTGTCGTGGTGGGGAGCCCAGTGGAGTTCAGAAGGGTCTGGTCTCCCTCACAGGACAGCTGAACACCGGGACTGGCCAGTGTTGAGAGGCGGAGACTTGGGCAATTGCTGGACGCTGCCCTGGGCATTGCACTTGTCTCGGTCTGACAGTGCCGGCCCCACACTGCGGATGCTTGGCGGGAGGGGAGGGGCCTCTACTCCTTTGTGAGTAGGAACACGTGGGTTGCCCAACCTTAAAGCTGGAGCTGTGGGGGTGGTCCCTGACTTGGTTCCACCCTCCTCCTCCCGTTCCCATCTCTCCCTACCTTCCCCTTAGGCACGTCTGCGAATGGTGGACACAGTGGAGAAGGAGGATGTGAATGAAGCCATACGGCTAATGGAGATGTCCAAGGACTCCCTTCTGGGTGACAAGGGGCAAGCAGCCAGGTGAGCGGCTTAGTGAAGGATGTCAGGAGTTACCTTGACCTTCTTGAGCAGAAAATTTATCCTGTGGCTTCTGCATCCCTGTGTCTGTGATGTTGGCCTCAGAATTCTAACCCTGACCACTGCTGTTCTGTTGGTACTGGGTGTTCTTGTTGTACCCTGACCTTGCACACCCATGCTTGCTTTCTCCAGGACCCAGAGACCAGCGGATGTGATATTTGCCACTGTCCGTGAGTTGGCCTCGGAGGGCCGCAGTGTCCGGTATTCCGAGGCAGAGCAGCGCTGCGTGTCTCGCGGCTTCACACCTGCTCAGTTCCAGGCGGCCCTAGACGAGTACGAGGAGCTGAACGTCTGGCAGGTCAATGCCGCCCGGACACGGGTCACTTTTGTGTGATTCCAGTCACTTGAGACACTGGTATCTACTCTGCATATGGTCCTAATCCCCCTTACTTTAAAGACCTAGAGATGCCCTTGAGGGGAAAGGAGGGTCCCTTCTTTTTCCCAAGCTGCACTTGTTTTACTCATTCATTTTGCTAATAAAGTGTGTGTAGATTTGCTGCCTTCTGTTAAAACAGGGTATTTTGAGTTTTCTAGATTCCTGTCCTTTCCCTTTACGCTTGTCTTATTCCAGCCACTCATAGTCTACTCAGGGGAGTTCCTGCTCTGCCTGCCAGGCACTGATAAGAGACTACACGGGGTCTCCACTCCCTCCCCCGCTCCAGTTTATAGTCTCAAAGTATGGACACGAGTACCTCTGCCTTCTGGGGTTCAGGCACATACCTCCCTGTGGTAAACAGTGCTGCAGTAACTGAGAAACACCTCTCTCTCGGCCATCCACTGAGCCTGTAGGATCAAGGCTTTAAGATCCAAAAGAGCGTGGCACCTAACAGAGAGGACAGAGCCACTAGAAGGGGTGCGGAGGGGCTGCTCCCCTTTTATTAGCAACAGGTTTCTCTAAATGGAGTGTAGCACCCTCCTCTCGACAGCTGTCCGACCCCTGTGCTGCATCCTTTCAAGTATCCTCTCATCAGAAGAAGAGCCCCCGCATCCGCCTGCCAATGCCTTGTCGGTCATAGAGGACATTGAACTTGTTCACAAACTGGTTCATGGTGTTGCACGTCTTGGTGATGGTGCCAAGGTAGGCCATGAGCCCCACGTCATTGCATTGCTGCGAGGGAACAGAAAGAGCCAGTTCCCCAGGGGCTCTGGGTCCCCCGCCGCATGCCCAGGGAACAGCCAGGTCCCAGGTCCTGCGTGCAGAAATGACGATGCGAGCCCCACCTCCCTGTCCTGGGCTTTACACTCACATCGTAGAAGTCTGTCTTGAACTTGTCTGTGCTGAGCACTGGGAGGCAGTGACACAGAGCATAGGCCTCACGCAGGATCTCATGGTTAAAGGGGACCTCTCCTAAAGGTACAACAGAGGCTGCGTTAACGTGGATGCTGTTGCTTCCCCAGGAGGGAGAGGAAAAGGGGTTCAAGTGCCGGGGAGACACCTGTCCTACCTGCTTCAGAGGCCTTGACGTACTCCAAGATGAGCTTGACGCGGCTGTGCAGCATCTTGATGGCACTGTGCTGTGCGATCAGGTGTTCAGCCACTGCAGGGGGACAGGGACAGGCCAAGGTGGAGAAGGAGTGGGGCCACACCTTCCGCCCCCACTTACGAAGCCCCTCCAGCCTCCCCTACCAGTGGAGTTCTCTCCACTGCCTGTTGCTGTCATTCGTGCCACGTGGTCCACACCAATGCGTTCAGCTTCCTCTGTGGCCAGAGTGTAGGTCAGCTCAGCAAACAGCATTGTGGCCTACAGGGCACACACAGTCAAAAGAAGGAAATGCCAGGAGCAGAATCTGAGGGTTGAAGGGCAGGGCATTACCTACCTCTCCATTGATTATATCTATGACAGACTCAAAAACGCTGACGGGAAGCTGTAAAGAAGAGATGGGAGAACAGCTCTTACTAACATCAAACACACCTGAACCTATATGTTAAGTGCCAAAAACTTGGGCTTGGCCCTTTCACATTACATTTTCTCATCTAATCTTCCAAAGGACCTAGTGAAGTAGGAATTACCCCATTTTACACACGGGGAAAATGCCCTTTAGAGGTTAAGTGACTAACCCAAAGTCTCACAGCTGGTAAACTGCAAAAGAGATTCAATAAAAATGTCACACAGTTAAAGATAGCAGGATGAGAATGAAAGATGGCCATAGTGATGGACAAGCAGGACAAAGTGGGCACGGGGTCAGTTTTACTCACATCTGTGTGCTTGGTCATAGGGTTCAACTTAAGAAACAGAGGGCTCTCAATTATCTCGCACACCTGGAAGAGGGGGAGAATGCACACAAGTGTCAGGGCCCATCTTCCCCTCATCCTCTAGTCTCTGCCCCAGCATGCACAAGTGTGAGTGTGTATACCTGCTTATGGACATGGATGTCGGAGGGGTCAGGCGGCCCCCCTGTGGTATACCAACCGAGGAACTCCAGCTCCTTGAATACCTGTTTAACTGGAGAGGAAGGGGCCAGAATATTTCTTGAAACCATCCTTCCTTAATTTGAAATTCCTGGTGTATTTTTACCAGCTTCTCCCCTTCCCATGCTGGCTCTATTTAGAATAATTAATCTCCTCAGTCTTCTCACTTTCTTTGCAGGGAATAACTGAATGTGTCCTTTTTCTAAGGTCTCTTCAGCTACTCTAGCTTCACTTTTCCTCCGTTCTCGTCCTATCCTGTTTACTTTTTTTCCCGACCCTCTCCATCTTCCCCACTCTGCTTTTTCTCCCCACTCCCACTCCTCTCCCCCACGTCTATTCCCCTCTCACACTGCTCCTCCTTGGTGTAATAATATTCCTTGTCAATGATAATCTTCTCTTCCACGGTGTGGGACAGCAGCTCAAAGGAGTTCATCACCTCGATATTTCGGCCCTCCTGCTTCCCGATCAGAGCCCCAATCACTGGATGAGAGAAGGACACATAAGAGGTGAGGGTAAGGAAACCCCAAACTTCCCTAATCATTATAGCTTGAGGGTCTGAGGTCAGTGTGAACCAAATATTAGGGAAACGGTGATCTGCGGAGGAGGAACTGGCTTCAGTAAAGGAAGGGGAAAGACCACCATTTGGGGGAGGTGGCCAAGGAGAGGAGGCTGGAGAATTACGCCGAACACTCACCCTGCATAGGCCGCCCCTCCTGCGAGCGCATGCGAATCCAATGATCTGAGATGTTGAGAATGACGAGGGGATGAAGAGCGACTGAAACGCTGCCAGTCACTCCGGAGGCCATCACGCTGGGCACGACTAAGGGAGGAGGAAGAGGGGGTGAGAGTCCTCCCGGGAGACGGGAGTGAGAGACGGCAGAGTCGGGCCATACATCCCTCCCGCAAGTTAACCCAGGGAGCTCGCTTTTGACCCGCCCTCCCGACTTCTCCCGGGAGTCCAGGACGGCCTTGACGCGCCCCCAAGGAAGTCTCCAGAAGCCGCTCCCGCGCGGCCCACTACCTGCTGCATCCACCTCCATCCCGCTGCTCCCTCCGGTCCCGTTTGCCGTAGGGGCCGCCGCCGCCGCCGCCGCCATTTCCCCCGCGCCCGCCAGCGTCGGCCCCGCCCCCTCCCTCCCTCCCTCTCTCCTCCCCCTCCCTCCCCTCCTCCCCCTCCCTCCCGGCTTCCGTAGGCAGAGGCGCATGCGCGGTGTGGCCGTGGGGGCGCGCATGCGCGGTGTGGCCGTGGGGCGCGCACGCCCCGAAACCTGGGGTGCGCCGCCTGTATTTACCTAGCCTCGGTGGGGTGGGGCAGGCGGCCCTGGGGTGGGGAGAGACGGCAGGTTTTAGTAGCCCCTCTAGCCTTCAGCTGACCTTGAACAAATTACCTAACCCCACCCTGCTCGTCCTCGTCAGTAAAAGTGGGATCAGACTACCTAGTTCCTAAGGCTGTTGCAGAATGAATGAAACGTCCCGTTGCTGCCCTCAGAATAAAACCCAAACCTCTAACCATGGCCTGCAAAGCCCTGCAAGATCCGACCACTGCCTGCCGGTGGCCCTGGCCTCTGCTTTTCTGCTTCTCGGTCCCCGTGCTTCAGCCACACTGGCCCTCACGTCTGTTCCTTTCACACGCCTCACTCACCCCCACTTAAGGGCCTACTGTCGCCTTCATCACTGTAACCCCTGTGACCAAAACTGTACCTGAAACATGGGCACCTAAATGATTTTTGAGTGAATGCTTTGGCGGTGGAGCCTGGTCTTGAGAGGCTCCATCCACACGTCCTATCTTTCCTCCTTCTGTATTACCTAGGGCACTAGGAACACCCCCTAGTGTTTTCTAACCTCTTCCAACCTCCCTCTACCCTCCATCTCCATCATTCTTTCCAAACTCACCTCTGGCAAACCTGGCCTATTCCAGCCCTCTCCCCAACCCTGCACCCAAGCAAGTTGTGTACACTGCGTTTACTCCATCTTGTTGCCCCTACAATTTCGCTGGTCTTTTAGTGTGTGTCTACACTGAACCCAAAGTGTTAGCACTTAGAGAACAGGTAGAGACCTGTATCTTGACTCTATGGAGGCTACTCATGCCCAGAACCAGCAGGTCCCAGGAGATGTTTTCTGGTGATAATGGTGCCTTCTGTGAATTAAGCAATCTTTCCTAAATGGAGCCTGAGTGAAGGGAAGTTAAAGGGCAAGCAGCCCTCAAAGGAAGGGGCCTGAGAAATCCTGCAGGGAGAGACGTCTTCTGGCCAAAGGGAAGTTAAGAGTTTCTCTCGTTTTAATCCCCAACGAGTGAAAAACCTCCCCGTCAACTGAGAGGGTTATGGGAAAACCTCACTTCTCTATATATGCCTCACTTCTCTTAGGAAAAGTGAGGTCAGAAACATGTATCTCTTAAATAATAGGCAGATTCTGAGGACTGTAATGCTTCTCAGCTAGATTGAAGACTCAAAAAAAAAAATCATTCTGGTGTTGAAATTGCTAGTTTGCATTGCTGTTTCAATCATTAGAGAATTCCTTTGTCTTTTTGTTGTTTCAAATGCTTTTGAAACATTGTTCAGATAACTATACAACACATAAAACAGTTGTTATTGTGAAATTTAAAGATGACTTGGAAATTGAATCAGTTGTTTATACATGCTTTGGAAGTAAGCTCAACTGAGCATTTCTTTAAAGTGCATTGTATTTTAAAAAAACTACCATCAGGGACTTCCCTGGTGGCGCAGTGGTTAAGAATCCACCTGCGAATGCAGGGGACACGGGTTTGATCCCTGATCCAGGAAGATCCCACATGCCGCGGAGCAACTAAGCCCCTGCACCACAACTAACTGAGCTGGTGCGCCTCGAGAGCCCGTGCTCTGCAACAAGCGAAGCCACCACCATGAGAAGCCTGCGCACCACGACGAAGAGTAGCCCCAACTAGAGAAAGCCCGCGCGCAGCAACGAAGACCCAACACAGCCAAAACTATAAATTAAAAAAAAAACACAAAAAACTACCATCAAAACCTCAGGTTGAAATGATGGTGTTAAAGCAGCTATCCCACTGTTCTTTTTTTCCCTTCCAACAAAACTAAACATACTGTATCACTTTGTTGTTTTGTTAAC